TCTCTCTCTCTCTCTCTCTCTCTCTCTCTCTCTCTCTCTCTCTCTCTCTCTCTCTCTGTGTGTGTGTGTGTGTGTGTGTGTGTGTGTGTGATGTAAGAGTAAACTCTATGTCTTTTATTTTAATTTTTCTTTTTCTTTTGTTAATGCGAGGCCAAGGCCCCGATGAGTCCCTTTTTGGCCCTGTCACTTGATACGTCGGCCGCCCTAAGTGAAGGCAGGCTCAACGAGGGCCTGAGGGCCCCTATTTCGGACACCACGCAACTGAGGAAAATTCAGGCAGTTGCGCAGCGCCAGTTGGTTGAGAGCGCCCAGGCCCAGGCCGCCTGTTTGCATGTATGGAAGGCAGGCCCTGGGCTGGATACGGGGTATGGGCCAAACACAGGCCGATGGCAGTTGGGCACAAGTAACCACCACAGGCCCTGGGCCTGATTCGTATTGGACTGGGCCTCAGCCTACCGGGGCCTACCGGAAGCTTCTTGGGAAAGACCCAGCGCAGCAGCAGGCAGGCCACTTCCATATATCAAAGGGCCTGCCTCCCAATTGGACATTCGGGCACTGGCTGCTTTGTGCGCAAGCGCTGCTGCGTCATCGCCTGCCAGGCTCACGCGCTCACAGGCGAGCTGGAAGGAGCAGGCTGCCACAGCCGAGATGCGCTGCTGTATGCTGGATGGGGCGCATGGTGGTCCTTGGGTGCAAGTGGCATCTGTGAGTCGGGGAACGAGGTTGTGAGTGATACGAGATACATACCTGGTGCTTGAAGCGTGCAGCATTGGCCGAGATCTGCTCGTACTTCGGGGAGCTGTTGACGTCATCAGCGGCATTGTAGAGTAGGCTAGATAGGATCTGCCATCTGTAGTCTGGGCGCCGAGCGCCATTGGTTCTTCGTTGTGATGATGATGAGACTATTCCAGCATTGCCGATTATGAGCTTTTGGTGTGATCTTATTTGGAGAAACTCGTGATGCAATTCTGCTCTTGGTTCGAGGTCACGACTATCTGGTCTTATGTGTATGATGCTGTTTGATTGCTGAAGTTCGCTATTGCTCATCTGCCTTGCAATTTGGTATCGGAGCTGTGGTACGGTGCGCTAATCTGGCGTTTGTCTTCTGCCTAATGCGGTACATGCACGCGGTGTGTGCGGTGAGCGACCGTGCCGTGGGACGTGTGTAGTGAGGAGGGTGAAGGCAAGAACAGGGGACCCAAGTGGGGAGGGGTTCGCCAGGAAGGCTATGCGGTGTAATGTGGGTTCTGGACAGTGTGATGAGAACTATCTGATGTGCGATTGGTGCTGAGGTGGAACGGCGTGTAATGCTGGTTGTGCCAAAGCAATGACTGGTCATCACAATCGGCGTCAGGTCATCTGGTGAGATTATCTCTGTGGTTGGGGGCAACTATTTGAGGTACGTTGCTCTTAACCTTATCTACCCTCTTCGACACTTCTTACCGTGAGGTTGTGTGTTCCGTCTTGACTCTTGAGAGGCCTCTCATTGTGAGGAGCCGAGTGCGCTCAACCTTGAGAGTCGGCAATGTTCGCGTGGAGCATCCGGGGGAAGATGGGCTGAGCTTTCTGAACGGCCCTGGACGAAGCACTGGGTCAACCCACCGGGAGTAGAGCCCGCATGCTTTGCTGCTTGTCCTTTGTTCGGCTCGCTGCGCTGTTAGATGGGTTCTGAGGGGCACGCCAGCCCTATGTGAGAGACGAGAACCGGGCGTCTATAAATAAACACCGGCAGGGGAAACCATTGGCTGTGATCGTCGTCCTGTTTGCGACGTTAAATAATTCCTGAGGACACTTTGGGGCGGTCCTTAACTAGCCTCTTGATCAGCCAATCGGTGTAAGGCTCGCTGCACGCGAGGATAAACAATGTGCTAGAGCTGGCCAGCTCAGCAGGACTCGGGGCACAGGGGTGGGCCGATTGCACACCTTTAGACATGCACTGCTCTCTGGATGGCTCAGGGACGCTGACGTCAAGTGTCATTCAAGAGGAACTAAGGGAGGGGTAGATTTCAAGTGATAAGTTCGGGAAAAATTCCATACTGTTCGAATCCACACAAATGATTCTATTTTTATGTTTTGATTAGTTAGATGTACAACCATTAACATCTGACAGACAGCATATTAGAACTGTTTCCTGTTCATTGTGCATTCTGTTTGAGAAATAGTCAAACTAAAAATAGTTTTATTTGTAGGAATCTGAACTTACCTGTTAGACCCGAATGTATAGTCTCTGATATAGCCGCCGATTATTTATATCGGTTTGTACATGTTGCTGCGGTAGGCAGCCATTGTGTGTCCTAGTGCAGACGGTGTGCAGTTTTGTAGCATACGAGCGACAGGAACACCACTAGTGAGGACAACCGGATCTTGCGATCGGCTAGACGCCCGATAACCCATTTGGCATAAGGACCAGAGGGCGACAAATACTTGTTCCGCCAACTGAAAGAGAGGCAGCAGCAGCAAAGAAGAGCTAGGGCCGCAGAGGCAAGCAGGGCATTCGTAAGCGAGGCCGCTACTTCAGCAGTCATGGCCATTGTTGCGCAACAGACTTCTCAGGCTGGTAGTTCAGGATCTGTAGGGTCAACGGTCGTGTAGACCTTGAGTCAGTCCACTGGCGTAATGGCAAGCCAGCCCTTAGCGATGACTCCCAAGGAGGTCGCCATACAGCGAGCTGCTGATCGCGAGGCACGGCTACAGCAGACTTTGGGTGAGATTAAGGGAGAGAAAGAGAGAATGATTAGAAGAAGAGTTAGGATGCAGCGAAGGCAAGCGAACATTAGAGGAGATGGACCCAGCAGAGATGGAGGATGATGTGAGGACCATACGGTCGGTCTTGCTAAGTGTAGTAGAGATGCAAGGTCACCAGATGGAGATCTTACAGGACATCCAACAGAGTCTGGCTGTGTTAGTCGGGCGAATGCAGGCGACACCATCACCGTCTGGGCCCGGTGCCTGGCCCGTTGTACATCCTCCTCCTTTTGTCCCACAAGGTGACTGGGGTATCCCCATATACAGCTCCAGCATTGGTCCAGACCGTTTCCCTGGGTATGCCGTTAGCAGGAGGGCTCTCAGCATGTCCTAGTTTACAAGTTCTTGTACAGACGGTGTTTACCCAACCTCCGTCGCATGTTGCCGTAAGCGTGCAGCCTACTGTCTCACAGCCTGCACAGCCGCAGGGTACACAACCCCAGTAGTCAGTGCAACAGCCTGTATCACAGGGTCCACAACCCGGAGTGATGCAGGGACCGGGACAAAGTCAGTGGGTACCGGAGACGGCCATCGCCGCTCCGAAACCCTTTACTGGGGATAAGAGGGGCGAAGACCTCGACACTTGGTTGAGGGCAGTGCCGGTCTATGTCAAGTGCAAACTTACCTTACCGCACGAGGAAGTGCTTGTGGCTGCATCCTACCTAGAGGGTAGTGCAACAAGATGGTTGAGTGGTTTAGTGCAGTTGCAGGGATATGGTCATGACTTTCGCGCTTGGGCAGCCCACCAGAAACTGGAGGACTTTCTCAAGACGGTGGAAGATAGGTGGCACGATCCTCAGGAGGCCCAAAAGGTCACTGACGCGATCCTGACACTGCACACGAGGCAGTTTAAGTCAGTAAGAGAGGCCACTGACGCTGTAGAGCGTCTGATCTATGTTCCTGGGGTGCGCTATGACCCCCAGGTCTTACTCACCTCCTACCTGAGATGCTTTCCCATGCCTCTCAGGAATCAGTTGGCAGGTGAGGCCAACATCAATATGCACAACTTTCCCTCGTTCAGCAAGAAGGCCTTAGACCTTGAGGAAAAGATAGGGCATGGACATAATCCCACGACGGATGGTAGGAAGAACTCACTTCCTCCCAACTGGAAGGCGAAGGGCCGTATTATGTTCATTGACAACGATGGTTCTACCATCGAGTTGGATGACGAGTTCCAGGCGGGAGTAGGTTCAGAGGCTGGCAACGTAGAGGCTTCAGGGGGTGGAGTAGTCGTTGTGTAGCACAGAAAGGTAAGGCGACCGGTAGACGCCATGGAGGTTCCTGGTCAAGGAGTCAAGTTGACCCCAATGCTCCTCCATAAGAGAAAGCGGGTCTCACTGAGGACGTGTTAAGAGATCGGTATACACGGCAGACTTGTATCCGTTGTGGCCAATATGGCCATAACCAATTCAAGTGCCGAAATAAAAAGGGGACCGAAAAGATCCCGCCTACGATGGGGCAGGCGTTGGGATCCTCCGCTCCCGTTGGCAGCAATGTGGCTAGCAGTTCTGGCACCGCTCCGGGAAACACGTCGGGCCAGTAGGAATAGTAGTTGTTCCTGCTAGGGTCGACGTGATGGACACACCCTCACCATCTCGAGAGATGGCCCAGGCTACTGACTCCATCGTCGTCCCGCAAACACGTTCAGACCCATCGAGCCTCTGTTCGATGAATGTGTTTGAGTCCTTAGAGGAGCTAGAGGAGGAGTGGTCTAGATCAGACCCGCTATCTTCTTGGACGACATTGGTCAAAGTCCCTAAGGGTGAGATGTTCGTTAGCGAGGTGGTCCTTGGCGGTCGTAAGGCCGGGGCCTATTATGACACTTGCTCGACACGAAACTTCATTAGTCGCGCGTGCGTTGAGAGGCTGCGCTTACAGGGGTAAGTGCAGCGCCCGAGTCGACCTGTGGAGTCGATCCTGTGCCAACAAACATCGCATGGTAGTCAACGACCACCTCCAAGATGTTGAGTGTTGTTTCCCGTACGCGGGAGGGGAACTGAGACACCGTGTCTCGTTCCTAGTGAGCGATGAACTCCCCATGGATATCTTGTTAGGTATGTACTACCTCTCCGTGGCACAGCCCCAGTTTGACTGGGACCGAAAAGTGGTCAAACACACTTTGCCAGGTGGAGGGACCGCCATATTACGTAGGTTCAAAGCCAGTAGTCTGATCGAGTCCTATGGAGACATGTGTGCGGCCGAGTTCTATAATTATTATAAGCAAAATAAGGAGGAGGGTATGTATCTAGTTTATGTCTCTGCTGCAGGTGAGCTGGTGAAAATGCCGCCGGAGATAGAGGGAGTAGTTGCTAAATACCCTGATCTATTTGAAGAGCTGACAGGGGTTGATGAGAGGGAGATCGTCCACGCGATAGAGATTATCCCAGGGTCTAGCATTCCAAAGGGAAGGATCTATCGGATGTCTCCAAGCGAGCTTGATGAGCTTCGCCGGCAACTCAAGGAACTCGTAGAAAAGGGTTGGATTCGGCCGAGTGTTTCTCCTTATGGGTCTCCAGTCCTATTTGTACCCTAGAAGAAGGAAGGAACACTTAGGATGTGCATTGACTATAGGGGCCTCAATGCCATCACTGTCAAGAACGGAGAGCCCCTACCACGCATCGATGACTTGCTAGATAGAGTGCAAGGGTGTCGGTACTTCGGTAAGATAGATCTGAAGTTCGGGTACCATCAGATTGCAATCCGGCCCGAGGATCAACACAAAACCGTTTTTCAGACCAGGTACGGTCTGTACGAGTTTGTGGTGATGCCTTTCGGCCTTTGCAATGCTCCTGGCACCTTTCAACACGTTATGAATCGGATATTTCATGACTACTTGGATAAGTTTGTCATCGTGTACCTCGATTTCATACTTATTTTTAGTAAGACTGTCGAGGAGCACGTTGCACACTTGGACAAAGTCTTTAGTCTTCTGCGACAGCACAACTCAAGATCAACGGTGAGAAGTGCGAATTTGGCCGCACCCGTGTCTTGTACTTGGGTCATGAGATTTCCGCGAAGGGATTAAAGCCCGATGACGCGAAGGTGGTCAGTATTCGTGACTGGTCGCGTCCTCAGTCTGTGACTGAGATGAGGTCTTTCTTAGGGATGACCGACTACTATCGCAATTTCGTGAAGAACTATAGCATAGTTGCCGCCCCTTTGACTGACCTGACTCGCCTTGATACCCCATGGGAGTGGACAGACAGATGCGAGGCTGCTTTCAGACATCTGAAGCATGCGTTGACGCATCATGAGGTCTTGAAACTTCCTGATCCTGACAAGCCATTTATAGTAACTACGGATGCTAGCCAATATGGCATAGGCGCCGTACTCGCACAGCAGGAGGGGAAAAAGTTGAGGTCGGTAGAGTACATGTCCAAAAAGATGCCCTCTCAAAAGTTGGCTAAGTCCACCTATGAGAAGGAGCTCTATGCGATCTACAAGGCGCTCACCCATTGGAGGCACTATCTCCTTGGGAGGTTCTTCTACATCAGGACTGATCACCAGACCCTGAAGTGGATGGGAACCCAACCTGTGCTCTCCGACGTTCTGAAGCGTTGGATTGAAGTCATAGAGCAGTATGACTTCGAGACCCAGTACATCAAGGGCGAGTACAACAAGGTTGCTGATGCGTTCTCGCTTAGACCAGATTTCTCTGGTGCGCTGATCACTGAGTTTGGGCTTGCGGACGATGTTACTCACTCTATGGTGGAAGCCTATCGCAAGGATCAGTTTATGTCTGAGATCATTCGCAGACTCGAGGCGAAGGATAAAATCACTTCTGCCGAGTTTGAGTTGGTCAACGGCCTGCTGTTCCTTGAGAAGGAAGGGAATAAACGTTTGTGTGTGCCTAATAGAGAGTCTTTGCATAGTTTGTTTCTTGGCGAGTGTCATGATGCCACCGGACATTTTGGCTTTAAGAAGGCTGCAGAGATAGCATGAGTGGTGAGGGCGCAGCGCTACCGGGAGCACTGCGTCCGGCGCTATAATATCGTACTCATGGTGATGGCGCGAGGCGGCGATGGTGGTTCGTTTTTTTGAAGATTTGGCGCTTCGCGCACACGCAGGGGACCGCAGGCGCTTGACTGCGCCATGTCACAGGCCGATGTGGCAGATGGTCTGACTCCCGGTGACGTTCTGTTTCTGGGAGTTCCACGTTTCACTCCATAGCCGCTGCGTTGCTGCACGTGGCATTTGGCCTGAGAGGCGTTGGCTATGACGATGCCTGTGGAGTCCAGTGGAGTCAGCCCGAGGTTCTCTGAAGTGTGAGTGTTTACAGTCACAATCGGCCGTTGGAGTGTTGCTCGCCATCGCCATCATCATTAGGTCGCGATCCGACATCATCTTGGTCCGTCGTCATCAACGGGGTACAACTTCTTATCAGAGGCATTACCCGTTAATTAGGGTGTTGTTTGTCTGCAGGGGACCAGCTTGGATGTGTCATCAAGCATAATCAAGGCGCTGTTTGCGCCATCAGGACGAGCTTATACGGGGCGATGTCTGGCATCAAGATGAAGATTGTCATCATCACCATCAAGTTTTGCCAACATCATTAAGTTGTTCTTCATCATCAAGTTTTGCGAGCATCATCATGACGTTAAACGTCATCATCGGGATATTACCTGTCATCAGAACTTGCCGCAAGGTGCCTGTCATCAATGTGTGGGTAATTAGTCGTCATCCTATTCATCCTTACACCTTCGTGTGAGCTTCGTCATTACCATCGTTATCATCACCTTGTTGTTCGTCATTCCCACCATCTGTAGCATCATCGTCATCAGCACTATCATCCTCATCGCCATCATCTTTATATTTTTTTTCAATTACATGTACTTCTGTAGTGGGTCATCCCCGATATCATTTGTAGGCGAGTTTGTTCGCCAATACCATCCTTAGGGTATTATTCCTAGTTACCCATCCATTCAAACGTCATCAATACCATCATCGTTATCACTACTATTTGAAGTATTATCCTTGTCATCACTATCATCATCAGTACTAATACCATCCTTAAAAATTTTTAGTCTTAGGGCACCGTTTTTGGTCACCCATTCTTGCAAAAGTCTTTAATACCTTCATCGTTATTACCATCATCTGTAGAATTATCATCGTATCACTATCCTCATCAATTATAGCATCGTTAGAATTATCATCTTCAAGCAAATCCTTTATTAGGGTGTCATTACTGCAAACTGTTCTGGTAGTAATCAGAACGTCTTTTCTGCCACTCTCGTTCATGATCGGTCTCGTCTCAAGTACAACCTCTGGTGTATTCCATCATGAGATCCTCATTGAGGATAATTGATTGCTTCATTTGATCGGTATGTTTTAGTCGGGCTAGGGTTTCTGCGGTCACAGTGTGGATTTTTGGGGAATGGGTGGGGGGGCGTTGGGGAGCCTTACTCTACAGGGGCGCTGCAAGGTGGGAGGTGGCTGCTCTGTCGGGGGTGGGGCAGATTTGTGGTGTGTCCTTGTTTGGGGCCGGGGTGAGAGAGTTGGTCGCCTTCAACCCCGGCGGGGGCAGATAGGGACAAAGGGGAGGGCGAAGGCACCCTTTAGGCGGGAATTGGCTGCCTTGGCGGAGGGGGGAGGGAGGGGATCTGTTCCAGGTTGGGGCCGAGGTGAATCTCCTTGGCGGTGGCAACGTGGGACAACGGTGGCGGTATAGGGGGAATTTTTCTCTGCGCGGTGACTATTGGAAGCTTCTTGGACCAATCATGTTATTTTCAGCTTTCTGGGGTTCTCAGAGCTAGAGCAGCATCGGGTCTTCTTCTTTATTAGGATCTTAAACTTCAGAGATGGTTGCACCTGGACTGACATCAATAGGGTTGCTATGTTCTATGCTTTCAACTTGTCGATGCCAGAACGACGTTGGCTGGGTGTTACCCTGTAACCTGCCACGACAGGAGCGTGAGGCCTTGTAGAGAGATCTGGGGTTTGCCGAGGGAGGAAGGCAATCCAGTGGCGAATCGGGGGGGCCGCCTTGACACCCTTTGGGGTCGGGGTATAGTCTCGGGGGCGAGAATAGGTCAGCTATGGTTGATGTTGTTTTGGTTGGTACTGTCTTTGAGTAGTGGTGTCCCAGTATAGGGAGGGCTAGGAGTTGCTCTCGGATTAGGAAGCCGGAATATAGCATAGTATTCACAATCCTTTGGATTTTATAAGGGTGGTGCAGTCAATTTCTTTAGAATTCTAAAAAAAAAAAGCATAACCATCTTCATCAATATCATCATCATCATTAGTATCATTATCTCATCAATGTTATATTAAGCTTTCTGGTGTTCTGAAATTTTTGGGCAGGATCGAGTTTTCTTCCACATCTGGGATATAGGATTTCAGGGATGGTCGAACCCGGGCCGATATCTGCAGAGTTGTTCTTTTCTGTACCCCTGTTTTGACGACGCCAGAACGACGCTGGCAGGAGCTGGGGTGTTGCCTTGTAACATGCAAAGGCAGGAGTGTGAGGCCTTGTAGACTGGGGGTTGCCCAGGGAGGAAGGCAATCCACTAGCGAACCGGGGGGGGCTGCTCGGTGGCGAGGAGAGATCAGCTATGGGTGACATTGGTTAGGTTGGTATTGTCTCTGTTTTACAATGTCCTGGTACAGGGAGGGCTAGAAGTTGCTATAGGATTAGGAGACCAGAATTGTTGATATAGCATAGCTTACTACAATTAATAATAAAAAATAAAAAAAAAAAAAAAGTCAATCTGTTGCAGCGGTTCTGGTGGCCCACGATGATGAGAGATGCCAAGCTGTACGTGGAGACTTGTCAGGTCTGTCAGAGAGACAAGCCCCGTACACAAGCCCCTCTTGGGCTCCTCAAGCCTCTTCCGATTCCGGAAAGGCCTGGTGAGAGCCTGTCCATGGACTTCATGGACACGCCGGTTACAAGCAAGAGCGGAATGAGACACATCTTCGTTATCGTGGATAGATTTAGTAAGTACGCTAGGTTAATTGCCATGTCGGAGACAACGAAGACCGAATACGCAATCAGATTGTTTAAAGAGAACTGGCTCCGGGATTTTGGTCTGCCTAAGACAATTGTGAGTGACAGGGATGTCAGATTCACCAGTGAGTTGTGGAAGGTTGCCGCTGCCGAACAGGGAACGCAGTTGCAGATGACTTCTGGGAATCGCCCAGAGGCCAATGGCCAAGCCCAATCAGGTAGACTGGAATGAGAAGCTTGCTCTCATTGCCAGTCTGTATAACAACGTTGTGCACAGCGCTACCAGTGTCAGCCCTAACAGCTTACCATTGACTTTCAAACCTAGACTGCCCCTAGATTTTCTATTACCTAAGAACCAGCTGACTGCTGCACCGGGTACGTTAGAATTCGCTTATCGATATGAACAGAAGATGCAGCAGGCAGTGGAACAAATGCAGAAGGCACAAGCGGGAATGACAGAGTCCGAAAACAAACACCGCCGACTGTCTACATTTCAGGTAGGGGACAGAGTTTGGGCTAAGTCCTCAGAAATAAGACGGAACACGGGATATTCCGCAAGCTCATGCCTCAGTACTTTGGACGATCGGAGGTCTTAGATATTGTTGGGACTGATCCGGATGGGCCTTCCTATGTAATCCGGGTGCCTGGTCACCTCCGTACTTATCCCGTCTTTCACGCCTCCAAGCTTGCACCTTTTAAAGAAACCGACCAGTTTCCTTCTCGTCGCTCAATGCTGCCCCCAACCATGGACGGAGAGGTGGACATTGATGACATCGTGGACCACAGAGAACTGCCAGTTTCAAGACCAACAGGCAGAGGACGTCCTCCTAAACCGAAGCTGCAGTATCGAGTTCGGTTTCGGCATCACACTGATCCCAAGGAGGACCGATGGTTTACCAGAGAGGAACTCATGCAGACCGCTCCTCAAGCTGTAACTCAATACGAGAAGTCTCTGCGGAAAGGAAAGCGCCAGATTAATGAAGACTAAACTTTTCACAGGACTATCGAAGTTATGGAGGAGGGATGCGAGGCCAAGGCCTTGATGAGCCCCTTTTTGGCCCTGTCACTCGACAAGGGCCTGAGGGCCCCTATTTCGGACACCATGCAACTGAGGAAAATTCAGGCAGTTGCGCAGCGCCAGTTGGTTGAGAGCACCTAGGCCCAGGCCGCCTGTTTGCATGTATGGAAGGCAGGCCCTGGGCTGGATACCGGGTATGGGCCAAACACAGGCCGATGGCAGTTGGGCACAAGTAACCACCACAGACCCTGGGCCTGATTCGTATTGGACTGGGCCTCAGCCTACCGGGGCCTACCGGGGCCTACCGGAAGCTTCTTGGGAAAGACCCAGCGCAGCCGCAGGCAGGCCACTTCCATATATCAAAGGGCCTGCCTCCGTATTGGACATTCGGGCACTGGCTGCTTTGTGCGCAAGCGCTGCTGCGCTATCGCCTGCCAGGCTCACGCGCTCACGGGCGAGCTGGAAGGAGCAGGCAGCCATAGCCGAGCTGCGCTGCTGTATGCTGGATGGGGCGCATGGTGGTCCTTGGGTGCAAGTGGCATCTGTGAGTTGGGGAACGAGGTTGT